CTTGAGAATTCTTTTCACACTTCCACTTTTGATGTTTTGCATGCACAAGAAATAAATGGTAATCGGTTGACCAGTTTTTTAGGACCCTTATTCACTGGTACATGTGCCCTGATTTCAGGGATATTAAAATATGAAACACCATAAAATACAGTAGGCTCTCTTAATTCCTCTGTCTTTACATGTTTTTCTTTTGTTTCTTCAGTGATGGGGTTTGAAGTCAGGGCCTCAGCTTGCCAGGCAGGCACTCTACCATTTGAGCCATTCCACCTGCCCTGTTTTTCTAAATTTTTACGGCTGCGTAGTATTTCATTATATAGATGTGCAACATCTATAGATGTGCTGTGACTTTGAGAAAGGGGTTGATTTTGTCCTGCTGGAGATATTACAATATATTCAGACATGTTTTTGGTTTTCATAACTGTCATTGGTATCATGTGGATAGTACCAGGGATGTTGTTTTTTAAACATCCTAAAATGTACATGATAGCCCTTTAAAACAACAGAGAACTGGCCCCAAAAGCCAGAAGTGCTAAGACTGAGGAACGCTGCAGTCTATTGCTAGACTTTAAAGCTTTCACTTTTTCTGTCCTTAATTTAAATTTACACTAAGTTAAGGGACAGCCCAGGGTCTAAGGAAATGGCCTGTGAACTAGATTATCTGGTTGAATATCTGACCCTGACAGTTACCAGTTGAAGAACAGTAACTGGAAGTACACTTACTCAGTAACTTAACCTCGCAATGAATCAGTTCCTTACCTCTAAAACTAGAGAAAACTTACAGAAATTGTATTAACTGTTAGGCAGCTAAATAGGTTTGTAAATGCAAAACCCATTTCTGACATCTAAGAAACCCCCAAAAGTGTCTCATAAGCTTTTGTTATGCTATTTGTATGTGTGTTACTGGGGTTTAAACTTAGGGCCTATTTTTGTGATGGGTGTTTTCAAAATAGGGTCTCATGAACTATTTCCCTGGGCTGGCTTCGAACTGTGATCCCTCTGATCTCTGCCTCCTGAGTAGCAGGGATTACAGGCTTGACCCACTGGCACCGGTTCTATGCTATTTTATTTTTAAAATATTATCACATACTTCACTATTAAGGTATATAATCAAAATGGCAAAGCATTGCTGGAAAACAACAGGAGCAAAGAATCTGAAGATCTGGGATATATGTCATTGAATCAAATGTATTTCAAACCATTAGATGGGAGGCAAAATCATCAGTGGTCAAGACTAGCATTGGGGGAAATATCAGAGTGTATCAGAAGCAGTACATTATTTTTTTCATGAAACGTTTCATTGATAGGCCTATATAGTATACTTGGTCACAATGTTAAATTGTTTTAGTTTTTCAGTCAGGGTCTCACTGTGTAGCCCAGGCTGACCTTGAATTCAGGATTTTCCTGCCTTAGCTCCCCAGTGTTTAGATTACAGGTGTGTATGACCATACTCTGCTGCATTTTAGAAAAATGTATTTTCTAAGGCAGACTGCAAAGAAGTTTGAAGTCCAACTATCACTTGACATCTATCTATCTACATGATTAATGTAATTTATGAATTAAGACATTCCAGAAATGTCAGCTCTACTTTTGGCTATTTTAATAAGCTGTTCAAAATAATGAAATACAAGAACCTAAAAAAACCTACAAGTATTTTGTCTCAATCTTCTAAATCTCCTGGAAAAGTAAGCACGTTAGAAGTACTTTCTTACATGTTTTTGCAGCACTAGAAACATTGTTCACTAGCTCTTCAAGTTCATCACTAGCTCTGAAGATAGTCATTCATAAGTTAATCATCATCATTATCATTAATGTGTGTGAGTATCAACAGACTAACTGCGTAGGGCAGCTTTCAGGTATGTAACTAGTTCTGAAAACATCAGCTTAGTAATCATAGCACCCATAGTCTCTAAAGACTGCATGACCATGTAGACCAAATTAGTTATGATCCTAAAAAAAAAGCCCCAAAACAATGCATTTTTTAACCCCTTTAAAAATGGACAATAACTGTGATTCATATTTTGTGTAAAGGCAAATTATATGCATTGTGATTACTGGCTATTTTAACATCACCTTAAAAATTAGGGTAATGACACTAAGTTGAGAAATAACTAATACACGTGTTGAAGGAAGTCCCAAATCAGGTGGAGTTGGCAAAATTAAGATGTGTACTATGATCTTTCTAGGCTGAGGGCTGAACAAGGTATGGGGCACTGCCAACAGACGTTTACTGAGTGCACACCACTGCACATCAGATGGTGGCAAGGAGCTTGTAGTCAGCAAGTTAGACAATGAGAAACCATACATGAGACTCTAAGAGAATTACAGCTGTGTCAGGAAGACTTGGAGAAAGTGAAGCTGAAACCTCTCAGGAAAAAGGATTTTAAGGATTTGAAAGGGATTAGAAGTACTTAGGATATTTACCAGTAGACCCTGTATAATCCTTCCATATTCCTAATGAAAAATCGTTCCTTTTGTCCTTACTGAAAATCTACCAAAATAGCTAAAATGGCTATTAAATTATTTTAAAAAATGATAGGAGGTCAACATTAATTACCTCTCTTCTCATCTCACATAGTACCTTACCTTTACAACATTCACACTACATTCTACTTATTTGAAAATCTGGAAGAAAACCAAATAAATGGACAAAGAATTGAGAGAAACAGAACTGTGAGATATAACAATTCAATAATGAAAATGACAAGTGCTTGCTGGGTTGGTGGCATATGCCTACTACCCCAGCACTCCGGGGGCTGAAGCAAAAGTATATAGTTCCAGGCTAGCTGGGCTACATAGTGAGGCTGTCAGATTTTCTTTCTTTCTTTTTTTTTTTTTAAATGGAAGTGATTTAGAATGTTTACATAACATGTTACCACTGTCCACTTAACATCATAATTTGGAAAAGTCCCTGTTAATCTGTTTCCCATTTCAGTGAGAATAGTTCAGAAGGCCAAAAATGAGACTTGCAACCAGGAAGCTTGGTTGAACTGATGCTGCAGGAATTTCTTCTTGTTTTTGTTATTAAGGAGAATACAAAGGATGTTTAATTGGCTTGGAATGAAGGAAAATAGCATGTGATAGGAGATCTATTACTATGTATACAAGTGGTATTAGTAACTTGTATTTCCCCTACATACTTGTGTATGTATTATAGAATTAATTCTAATATTTTCACTTAGCCTTAGGGAAGAATTTCAGATGCATACAAACCTTAAACGTTTACATTGAAGTGTAAGGTGAGTCAGTCATTTCTGATTTCTTCCAGCCTGTGATTGAGAGGATTACGATAGAATTAATTTGTTTTCTAAAGAAGTCTGAGCCAGTAAAGCATTTTATTATTTAGTAGATTGTCACAGGTATACATGACTTTTTGCATTCTAAGTTGGATTGTATTTGTAATGATGAATGTCATTGATAAACTGTTAAGTACAAGCACCAGTATGTTCTTTAAAGGTTTCATATTGTTTTTCATAGTCAATTTCTAGCCAAACTTGTTACTCTGTATTTCCTGTATGCTGATTACTTTGCTGTGCCTAATAATTCACTCTTGTCAGTTCACACCTTTCCCTAAGGTGTATCAAGATTTTAGTGCTTACTGTTCACTTCTGCTCTATTTTGCTGGGAAGGTGTAATAAAATTCCACTTCAAAATACTGAAGAAACAAAATGACATGGCAAAAATCATAAAGACAAGACTTCCCTGGGATATGCAGTAGTGCAAAACTGAAAACGAAGTGGCATAAACGATAAGCTTGTCTCTATCGTTAACTTCGGGTCAGTGTCATGGAAATTAAAATCTTTCATGCTTACCAGTCTCCAGTGTAACAGATGCAAGACTGCAAACTTGGTTCAGTTTGGCGCCCTTTTGCTGCCCATTTTTGCAAAAACTACTCGAAAGTACTGGCGACTTAGAGGTTGCACCTCTAAACTTCTACCAGATACTCCTGAAAAGTATTATATAATTATTCTACGAGTAACAACTGCTCATCAGATTTTAATACTCAAACTGTGGCTTCAAGTCACTACCTGAGGCCTATAACCTTCACAAATGAAGGAGTCCCTCTCCATAGTCTCCCATCGGTGACTGTGTGAACACACGAGGGAACTCGGGATTTACAGAGCTGGAAACAGGCGGTCGTGGCGTTCACAACCCAGTAGGACTCGCCTTAGTTCTCTTCTGTTTTGGATGTTTGCTTCTCTTTACCTTGCCTGACAAACGGTGCCGCACCAGGCACACACCAGGATACCTGCCAAGCTGCCTGGAGCCCCCGCGGTCGACATGGGTGCGGCGCCGGTGGCAGGACCGCCGACCCAGGCACTGCCTTCCAGGTACCCCTTCCTGCAGCTGACCTGGGTCGGGTCTGCGGGCGGGGCCGCGCACAGGTAATGAGGGCTCTAAGAGCCTCGGCCCGCTCCGCGACGGACGCGGGGAGCGAGCTCACTTCCCCTGGGCCTGATCCAAAACTCGGTGGGATCGGCCTCGTCCGGCCTACTAGCTGTGGCAAGGAAGGTCAAGCTCACCTTGGGGAAGCTCGCGCCGGCCGGCGACAAACACCACAACAGGCCGCTCTAGAAATGGTTGCGGGGTCAGGGTAGGGCAACCCAGCTGCCTGCCAGGCCCAGGGCCACTACAGAGCCGCCCCTTTCCCGGCAGCCAAGCGACTTCCGGACCTGCGCAGACGCCTCTCCGCGCCGCCTCGCGCAGCCCCGGCCGGCAGTTTCCCGGCGTGCTCCGCGGTGGAAGAGCCGGAGTCGACAATAACAAACCCAGCCGTGGCCGCGTTCCCGGCCCTGTCAAGCCCTCGGCGCTGCCTCGGGGTCCCTTCCAGTCGCCCGGGCCCCTCGGCTCTGTCCGGCCGCGGCCCCCTGACTCCGGCCCCTGACCCAGAGCCGAGGGGCCTGACCGTGTCCTTCTTTCCTTGACCACTCCCTTTTACCCGAGTTCGGGGCAGCAGCGGGCGGACGGGCGCCGGGGACGCCGACGGTTGTGTCTGTTGGCGGTGCCGCATGGGCGGTTGGTAGCCGCTGCCAAGGACAAGGCGGCGGCGGAAGATGGTGCCGGGGGTTGCCGGCTCTGCTACTGCCGCCGGCAGAGGAGGAGGCGCTGCCGGGTGAGTGTCGCCGCCGCCCGCATCCCCTTCCCCCATCTGGCAGGGCGGCCGCGCGCCGAGCCGGGCTAGGTGGACCGGAGCGCGGGGTCCCGGCAGGCCGGCTCGCGCGCAGGTGTGTGCGGCCCGGCAGGTGTTGCTGGTAGGCTCCTTCCTGGCTCATCAGACCCGGTGCAAACAAAAGCGGTTCAAGCGGGTGCCCCATCGGGCTGTGCACGAGTGATACTGCCTGGAGCTCTCGGTTGGGGCGGCCGGGGTCCCCCGAGCGCGCGGCTGGTCAACACTTGGCGGAAATGCGGGAGTGGCCGGGTTCGAGACGCTCGATCCCCCCACCTCCCTCCGGGGGTCGCGTCCTCACGGATGGTCACGGCTGCCAGGGCTCAGCCCCGAAGGTGTCCGTGGGATTTGGCCGAGGCCGAACGAACGCGTACTGAGTGGAAGGAACCGAGAGGTGATGTCTTTGTCCCGAACCCAGAGTGCGAGGACCGGTGTAAAGTTACTCCGAGGAATGACTCAGCCTCCGCCCGCCCCACTGGTAGATTTGGGATGGGGTGTGCAGGCGGATTTCACAACTTCCTTGGTAGAAGCAAAATACATTAACCAATAGGAGAAATGGCAGCTTCTGAGGGGGGGCTGCCTTCTTCATAGTCGTTCACCGCCTGGTGGATCTGTGCGGTGTCTATGGTTTCGTAATCTAGGATTTTCCTTAGAGTGTGGTCACACCGTGGAGTGGTTTAGGCCTTAGTGCCTGGGAACACCAGCGTGCGCACTATTTATAAAGTCACTACTAGACCTGCAGCTAGATATGACTGTTAAGTCTGCTAGAAGCATAAAGAAGTGGCCGTTTTGCTAACCGTTTTGGTGTGAAGGGTTTTGGAATTGATGGGATTTACATCATTTATTTAAATGTTCAGAAAGTTAGTAATTTTGAAGACTTAAATATACTTACATGTGGGCTTAATGAAGACTTTAAATGTGCCATTGCTAGGGGTGTGAGAAAATTCTTCTTTTGTATTTGGTGTAACAAACTACGTCCTTAATGAACGTATTTTTCTCAGTAAGAGTCCTGTCATGTTTTTTTGATATTTATGATTGTGTTTAAATCCCATATAGGATCTTGTCATGGATACCTTAGGCAAGCAATGTTTATATTGATAAATTTCTGATGGAAATTGTATATGGATCCAGGCCACATACAATTTGGAAATTAATTTGATTTAGTGTACTCTGAAACAAATTTTGATATTGTGGGCCTAATCCTGTCTATGTTGTTTCTGCACATCAGAGAAGACAATGAAGCAGTGCTCTTGGCCCTGAGAGAAGTTTTTCTGGCCCTTGCTGACAAACACCAGGTCAGAACACATAGCAGATTGACTTTACAAATTAAATTCAAGGCCAAAGGGGCAGAGGACATAAGACCTTGTTTTTTTTTTCAGTGCTGGGGATCAAATCCAGAGCTTCCCACGGCTAGGCGAGTACTGTATCACTGAGCCACATCTCCTGTCTCAAAGACGTCTGTTTTTGAAAGCTGCAATGTTAAATTTTATGTAAGCTTGAGAGAGATTTTATTTGGCCTCTGATTTTAAAATTATCTTCAAAGATTTGTTTGCATTTAGGAAATACTGAGAATCTGTATGTTTTACTTTGCAGATGTGTATCACAATTTTTTTTTTTTAAAGGCTAGTAGCCAGGCTCTTGTGGCTGATGCCTATAATCCTAGCTACTTGGGAAACTGAGTTTGTGAGAATCAAGTTCCAGGCCAGCCAGGGGCAAGTAGTTCGCTGGACCCCAGCTCCAAAATAACAAGAGCAAAAGTGGCCTGCAGATAGGGCTCAGGTCACAGAGCACCTGCTTTAACAAGTGGGAAACCCTGAGTTCAAACCCTAGTCCCACCCCCCCCAAAAAAAAAAAAAAGCTAGCAATTTTCTCATTCAGGTAATGATGTTTTCGAATTCCATTTATTCTTTTTATAGTAAGTAGTGACCCAAGAAACTCAAATTTAGCATTCCCTTTCCATGTTCATTCATGATCCTTTTGCCACAGTGGTATAACTGAAATGGTATCTGTGAGAAAGTGAGAATTTCTGAGAAGTCGTTCTTGCTTTAAAAAAGAATGAAAATTGGAATCATACATAAAAGCAACTGGGCATTATGGGTTTGAGCCTTTATTGGATGTAGAAGAATAATTTAGGGGGAAGAAAATGCCTCCCTAAAAATACCCTAGCAATCTGTTTTGATATATATTTATGTGTATTGCCAAGCTTCAGAAGTTAAGGATTCAGCAGTGAATAAACCTAAATCCCTATCTTCATTCAAAGGAAAAAGAATGAAGTAAGAGCATAATTGTTAAGGAAAAAATTAAGGCAGGAAAGGAAGGATATGACGTGTGTGTGTCTGTGTGTGGATAGGAAATGATAAACAATTTTTGTACTTTTTTTTTTTTTGGTGTGGTACTGGGGTTTGAACTTAGGGCCTTGTGTTTGCTAGGCAAATTCAAAAGAAGGTAAAGTGACTTGTAGATTGCGTAGAAATGGTAGAATAGGTAGAGGGCTAGAAAAGTAAGCAGTGGAGTGCTAGGTTGAAGCACTCTTAGATAAAAGGATGCAAAAATTACTTACTACATTTCTGATTTTTTTTTCATTATTATGGGCCTAGAAAACCTAACTTGCCTGTAAAACTGGACCCCCATTATCCAGGACTCTGAGAGCATAGTATGTCTTAATAGTTTTTGCAAATATATGTAGTACTGAGTGTTCACAAGCACCCTTTCTTTTGTTGACTAGTTTCTGCTTTCACAGCTGTTTAGTGAGTACCCTGAGGATTGCGGAATAACAAATTTTCCACTGTTTCAAATTCACATACTTTATTGGCTTGTAATTATACTAAGAAATTAAAATAATGGTGTTCCATTTTCATTTTTGTTACACATTTAGATCCACATCAGTTTTTCCCTCATTCCACACATTTTGGTTAGTAACCGTTCATAGTATATGTTGGACTATTAATTCAGTACTATACTCTTTTTTTTTCTTTTTTTATTCGTATGTGCATACAATGTTTGGGTTATTTCTCCCACAGTACTATACTGTTGATATTTCCATGGCCTTTGGTAACTGTTTTACTGATTTGTGTATACTTTTTTTTTTTGATATTGTTGTATGTTTACAGATAGTCTTGGTTTAGTGGAATGAAGTTAATTCAATATTTGTTATGTAGATTAGTTTGATTTTATTTATTTTTACATAGCAAATTATAAAGTTTTACTTAAATACATGAATTTATTACAGAATCACACATGACACAATTTCCTTCCAGGGTCACAGTTGAGTGCATTTTTTCAATCAAAGCTGACTGCATAAGTCATTTGAATGCTGCAAGAAAATCAGTCTTGTTCCACTTTGCCAAAGCAACTGATAGTTGATTCTTTCAAAGAGTAGACTTTCCATGCAGGTAGGTGGCAATAAAGAATGTTTCTCATTTTTCCATAATCTTAGTGCTGAAATTACAGTATTAATTACTTTGAGATGTTTTTCAATGTTTTCAAAAACATTTTCTGGATTTGGGTATTTGGTGTCCTCCCTAATGGATATCCTGGCATCAGCAGGTCACAGGTGACAGGCTGTGACCCAGCCACGCAGGGCCTGGGTGAGAGGAGATGGAAAAAGGTGTGCTCAGAGAAAAAGTCCTTGCCATCTTATTTTTTTACTCTCAGCATACATCATAAAACATGCAGTTAGAATATTTTCACTAAGCTCATGGGTTTTATATGCATTTTATTAATGAGAAGACATCAGAATGGGTAATGTGTGTATATGTGTACTGATGTGGGAAGATTTCCAGTCTCTTGTTTTTGTGCTGGCATTACATGAGGCTGCTTGTCTAGCTGCAGACAAGGCATATATTGAGGAGATTCTGGACCTTTATGAAAAAGATTTTCTTCTGGAAAGTGTGAGGAAGATGCCCAACCTACTCTTCTTTCCCCTCTCTTGTTTTCTTGGCAGAAAAAGGGTAGTGTCAGATGGGAATATGTTTGATTTGCAAAGGCTAAAACCAGTTTTCAGTCTCTGAGCAACCAAAACCCAATACTTGTGGACATTATTTTCATCAATGCCAGAGTCAGTGAACTGTCAGTGTGGTAGAATTGCCAAGAATTACTGTTTGCAAAATTAAAAATCAGGCAAAATTCTTCGGAACTGTCTTTTCACTATAAAGCATGTAGTTTGCCTTATCTGTATTCAGCTTGGAAAGAACTCGAAGTTGTTTGTGTTCATAGTGCCTAGAAAAGTATTGTACTTATTAGATGTCCTCCAAATATTGGGAGAAAAATGAATGAACGTGTTTAGTTTTGGAGGTCAGAATTTGTCATCTGGAGTTTCTCCCTTTCTCCAGTTAAGGAAGCTAAAGTTTTGAATATATTAGACTAGTTATCAGTAATGCTGGAATGACTGACCTAGTCATTATGATGATAATCTCTCAAGAGGAAATCTTAAACTAATCTCTGATTTGTAAATTAGGCGATTTTTTTAAGAGGTACTTTCTGGTTCTTTTATGTATGCTGCGTTACTGGCAGTGGTAGATCTCTTGTTCAGCATGAATGAGGCTCTGGGTTCAATCCTTAACATCAAGAAAACACATAAGACAAGAGTGAGAGGTGGTGGTGCACAACTGTAATCCCAGCTGTGTGGGAGGCAAAGCTAGGAGGATCACTGTCCAAGCCCAGGCAGAAATTTGAGACCCTATCTCAAAACAAAACAACAAACAAAAACAAAGCAAAAGGACTGGTGGGCATGACTCAAGTGGTAGAGCACTTGAGGCCCCGAGTTCAAGCTCTGCTATAAAAAATGAAAAAGGAAAAAAATTAGGTATGTTTGAATTAAGAGTAGGAATTGCAGTTGGCAATATTTCCTTTCCCCCAGTGTTAGCTCTGAGCTTAGCACAGAGGTCTGAATTGGGTGCTAAAATTGACTGATGTTTGTGTCATGCTTAAGAGTTTGCATGGCTCTT